CGCTGTAACACCCACGCCTCTGGTGGGGATGGCATGTCAGCAGTGGTGGAGACCTCAAACTCTTCTATATGGTACCTCCCTATACAATCTGCATCAACTTTCTAAATATAAGTCCAAATCTGTTAACCTAAAGGCAAATTTAAAACCAAATCTGTTCATCTAAACTGCCCTAAAATAAAAAGTTTATTTTAAAAAATTTGTTATTTTCATTTAAACCCGAATAAGCCTATTAACATGCAGAGTCAGCTGGAATCTTTTAAGAATCTAAGATTTTAATCTGTTTTAAGACCATGTTTTCCCCAAGCAGTATTATTTTTATTTTTTAACTTATTCTCTTTTTTCTATTGAAGTATAGTTGATTTACAATGTTGTGTTAGTTTCAGGTGTACAGCACAGTGATTCAGTTAAATTATATATATATATATATATATATATTCTTTCTCCGATTCTTTTCCATTAGAGGTTATTACAAGATATCGAGTATAGTAAACCGTGCTATACAGTAGGTCCTTGCTGACTGTCTATTTTATATATAGTAGTGTGTATCCATTAATTCCAACCTCCTCATTTATCTCTCCCCACTCCCCTTCCCCTTTGGTAAACATAAATTTGCTTTCTATGCCTGTAAGCCGATTTCTGTTTTGTAAAAAAGTTCATTTGTATCATTTTTTTTAGATTTGACTCCAAACAGTACTATTAAGTGTGATACTAAAAATCAGAGGAATACGGGATTAAATATAATTGGGCAGATTCGTGTGCTTATTTTTAACCATCAAACCCCGTGCGGGTCTTCAGGTGGTAATGAACACAGTGATACTCCAAGAAGGCCGTACAGTATGGCTCCACTGGACAAAGCACAAAGCACGCTCTCAAGCACAACCACACACCATCAAGGTTAAAAAGGGAAGAAAAAGCTACTTTTCAGTCGTTTCGCTGTCACAGGTTCCCCAACATTCAGACTTTGCAGGGAAAAGAGCAAAGAGGAGACAATCAACAAGGGGCCCAGGGACCACAGAGAACTCTGGCCTGTCCGAGCTGCGCTCTGCACAGGAGAAACAGCCAGAGACCTGTCAGGCACAGGTAAGGGTTCCCACTCCGCACGTCACAGAGGCCCAAGGGTCCCTTACCATAGACAGGATGAGGAAACTTGCCTTCACTTAACCTGGGACCTTCCGTTTACTTCCCTCCTGCCTCCCAAAGATTCGGACCATTTTACAAGCATATAAACTCACCTCTGTTAACAGTGACCCAGAAGCCTCTTTGTGCTGAAAGCATGGATGTCTAAGGCAGTCAGCCATTCCCGGGCAAACAGGTCCTGTTGCGTTCGGCTGCCCACCCCCCACCCCATCCCTGAGGCCCCATCCAGTAAGGCAACCCCCTTGCCAGGCTGTCCCACAAACCCGTGTCCCAGCCGGGCCCCGCGTCTGAGGAAGGTAAGCCTGTTTCCCCTTGAGGTCTTCAGTCGGTTACCTGACACTGGTGTCCCTCAGTCACCTTTTCCGTAAAATGGGATTTTTTGTTTTTTTTTTTTTTTTTTTTTTTTTAATGCTGGGAAATACCTGCATTCAAGCAGGGAAGGGAAGGCAGAGGTCTGGCCCGATGCTCTATTCCTTTAATGCTGTGGGATCTGCCCCGGGAGCTTCTCTGCTTGTAGTTATCTCAAGTTCAACATATTTCAACTTAACCCCCTTCTAGATGTCGTTTGGAGGGCGAAGGAGATCTGCTTCCCATCGCCACTGGGCTCTGGGGCTCTGACTGCCTTGCCTACAGATTCATGGCTTGATAAATTTGTCATATTCAAAATCTTGAAATGTACTAAAAGTGGGTTTAAAAAACCATCCACGAATGGGAGCTCTGCACCTTTCAAATGCACCTGCACAGGTGAGAGCGAAGAGGAGCTCCTTCACCTGGCGCATCCTGACTGTGATGCAGCATCTATTCCTGGGCACTGAAGTACACAGTGGGGTTGAGGGGAAGGTTGACTTAAACGAGCCGCTTCCTTCTACAGAGCAGGCCCACCTCCTCCCTCCATCCTACCCTGGTGCTCTGGGTCTGCGCTTCTCTTGCCAGAAAAAACGTCTGGGCTGGGGCGAGGCCAACACAGTGAGTCTTCCTGCAGCAGGGCCCGGAGCCCGTCCGGCTGCCCGGGGTGCAAAAGAGGGAGGCCCACACAGACACGACAGAAATCCGGCTGAAAAAGCCCTTACAGACATTTCCAGCGCCAGCCGGGGCGCCGGCCTTGAGACGCTTCCTCCCCGGCCTGGGCAGACCTGTGCACTTGCTTCTGGAAGCTGCCCCTCTGTGGGAGGCTTGGCTTTACGAAACAAGTGACATTCACGGCAGAGCACTCACTCACAACGCCCCAGTATCTTCCTCATCACAGACTGCTTCCCGCAGGCGGCCCAGCCCAGCCTGGCTCTCTGACCTCGGTCCAGGAATGAAACGAAGAGGGAGACACAAAGGGACTATTGTTCCCACCGCAAACGTCACACTTTGGCTACCAGCGAGCAACAACTTTAAAAGTCAGACATAAAGGCATTGCGTTTTAAGGCCGATGGGGATCATCATCGGGTTGTGTGTCCTTTTAGAGATGATTTCCTTGCTCCCAGCTGTTTAGGGATTTGCTAAGAGGTCGCACGGCCACCTCACGCCGTCCCACCGCCTTCTACCTGGTCATGAACTACCCTGATGGTACTATTGCCAAACCTTGCCAGTGACGCAGTGAATCATTATCTCCGCTTTTTATTTTTCAGATAAGGACACAGAGAAAAGAGCAGCAGAACATGTCCACACATGTAGGATAGAGCACGGACAGCGTGGGCCACGCCCATTCCCTGCTCTAAACATTCCTAATCACGATCTGCAGAAGAAAGGGCCCTCAGCGGGGCACACGTGTCCCCTGCGTCCCCCCGCCCCTCTAAGTCAGTCCTGGTGGATGGGAGCACGCTCTGGCCAGCTCAGGTGGGGGCAGGACAGGTACGTGGCTGTGTCCTTCCAGGCACCAAGCAGAGGTCTTGCTGCTGAGACAAGGAGCCTGGGAAACTCCTCGGTGTGGAGCTCGTCCATCCCTTGGGTTAACAGAACAAGACGTGATGGAGTATGGAGCACGCAGTGGGATGGACACGGGCCTCTGTGAAGATTCCAGAAGCCGGGGTTCTCATGTCAGCATTGCTGCCCACTGACCACGCGACCCCCGGGACCTGTCCTGGACCCTCCTGGATCAGCAGCCTCATCTGAGCGCTGGCTTGGGCCTGGCTCGCTGGATTCCTCCAGGCCCCTGAACCCTCCCTCCTTCCACCCACCTGGGAAGCTGTCACCCAGCTCTCAGCAAGAGTGACTGCTGCTGTGACTGCAGCAGCAAAGGGGGGCTTCGGCGGGGGCGTTGGGGGGCGATGCATCTCAGAGAGAGAGAGAGCTAGAGGATAAAACATGCTCTCGAAGGATCGATCCTGCCACCACAGACCCATCTCAGAGCTCAGGTACTCCTGCAGCTGTGAGCCCTGTCTGTCCACGAAATCATCTCAACACTCCTGCCCGCCCTTTCTAGGAGCTCACCACAATTCCACCTCAAGCCCCTCCCATCCCAACGCCTACGGTTACACACCCCAATCCTTCCATGTACTCCCGATCGGCAGTTAGCCAGCCGGCGTTAGGTTTCTGTAATGATCCAAACACTGTTCTAGACACGGGATGACAAGGGCCAGAGGTCTCACCCACACAGCACGTCGGGCAACAACCAAAGCCTTTTCTCCGGTTGAAGCACCTGCTTTCTCCGGTTGAAGCACCTGAAGACCTCAGCATGAAAGAAAAGGGATCAAATAAAAGGTATACAATGACAGGGAATCTGTTCAAAGAAACCTTGGGGGAGTCGAGCAGAATCACCCTTTTATCAATATTGAGCTGCAGATGGTTTCGGCTTCCTTGATGTACTTTAGCCAGAAAATTAGGTAAAATTTGGAGCGTCCAAATACATGCAGCAGATTTCTTATTGTACCGATATATACACTTCTTCTATCAGGTTTATTTGGATTTTGTCTTTGCTTCTCAAGAACAGATGAGAGGAAGGGGTATTGCTAAAAACAGAGTAAGTGGATACAATAAACTCCACTCGGGTAGTTAGAGCTGACTCATGTTTTCAGTGAGGAGGCCAGGTATCTGCCAGATTCTCTGAAGACAGAGTTGGCAGGATGACATGTAGGACTCAATGAGGGGCCTGAAATAACCAAGAGGCACACGTGGCCCAGCCTGAGGTTCCGGTGGTGCCCCTGCAGGCCAGGCCACAGCACGTGCCAGAGGTCTGGGGTCGTTCAGGGTCTGCATGCCCGAGAAACGTACATACACATATACCCCTTAGTTTTCAAATGTACACGATATCATTGGGATGAACTAAAATGTGTCCCTAGGGGAATTCACACCTGGGACAACAGAAGGCAGTCTTCCTTCGATCATTCATTAAACAGGTATCTCGGAGCGCTTTGTTCCAGGCACTGCTCTGGTCACCGGAAACGTTAACAGTGCACAGAATCTACAAGCACCCCTGCCCTCTGGGAGCTAACACTCCACTGGGGAGACAGGAAATAAATAAGGTAAATCGGTAAGACAGACAGTGTGTCAGCCAGTAATGCGTGTGCAGTGGGCAAAACAAGCAGGGCGGGGGAGATGTGCTGAAATGGTGTCCAGGGTCCCCGACAGACCAGCGGGGCAAAGGCAGAGGCCAAGCGACCGGCGGGAGACAACGGCAACTGTCCAGGTGAGAGACGGGGTGTGTCCGGGTGATGCCATGAGAAACAGGCCGAGGACAAGTGGTCATACTCTAGACCTGCTTGGAAAGAAAAGCCGCTAGGATGAGCTGACAGCCCAGGTATGGCTATGAGAGAGACAGGGTCCAGGACAGCCCCAAGACCTTTGACCTCGCAAGTGGAAGGACTGAAGGACAGAGCTGCCCTTGCTCAAGTCTGGTGGGCGTGGGAGGAAGGTGCCAGGGTTTCTCCATCACTTACCGCCGGCTGCAGGATCTCAACGAGCCCCTCTGAGCCCAGCTCAACCGCTTTCCCAGGAAGCAGACACGGTGGGTACACGTTACCAGCAGGCAAGGCAGGCTCTGCAAGGGGCAGAAGCCCTCCAAGTGAAGAGCAGAGTCTGCGAACCAGGGCCAGGCCTTTTCTTTGTACAACCTTCAAGCTAAGAATGTCTTTTTGCATTTTGAGAGATTATAAGGCAAAGAAAAACACAAGCAAAGAAATGTGGGCGAGCAAAGCCTACAACACTCACTCCCTGGCCCTGCGCGGAAAAGTCTGCCAGCTCCTGATTTACAGGCCGGCATCCTGGATTCCGTGGGTGGAGCCAACTAGGACTCCTGGGTGAGGCTCAGAGACAGGAAATCCCTACAAGAAGTCCTCCAGGAGAGCAGGCCCAAGGTCAGGACCAAGGCCAGGGCCTGACAACAGCATCCTGGAAATGTCACTTTAAACACCCGTAACCGTGAGCAACTCTCCAAAGCCTGAGGTTCGAAGAAAGGAAGTGAAAGAACTAGAGGTTTGGGCCTTTTCTCTGCTTCCGCATGTATGACAGCCAAAGGCTGGACACTGCCTGGACAAGACAGCTCTAAGTGCCCCATCCTTTGTGCTCTAGTTCATTGAGACCCAAGGGCTCCTAAGGATTTGTCCTAGAAAGACCACAGCAGGCGCAAGTCAGAAGGTCCAGCGCACACCCTCAGCATCCAGGAGACTTCTTGTGGGAAAGCAAACAGGAAGCTTTAAATCCCGCTTCTCCTATTTGGAGCAGACCATGAGGTGACTGCTCACACAGGGACCAGACACATAAAAGTGCAATCACCTCGTGGTGTGAGCCACACTCAGTCCCCATGTCTTTAGATCTGGAAGCAGTAACCTCTGACACCTGCCAGCACAGGCGTGGGAGAGACATGCAAATCCCATGTGCAGAGCAGGAGTGGTGTCCCCTGCCTTGGACCCTGTAACACTTCTATGACAAGTATCTTCCCTATGCTATCTCCAAACTCTCATTTATACCTTTGGGTATACTCAGAGTTCACTTTCAATCACCAATAAATTATAACCCGCTGTGCCCCGAGCTGGGCAGAATCCACATCACTCTATCCCTTGGGGGCTCAGCTATTTTCTCATTGTAATAATGGTCTGATAACTATTAAAGGACCCCTGTGTTCAGAAAACGAGAGCTTGGAACAAGCCTAAAGAATCCCATGTCACTTCATCGGTATGATGATTATGACAATAATATCGCGAATCTTTGTTTTCCAAAGCCCATGACCTACAGACTATCCCATCTTTCACCTTCTTTCAGTCATCTGATCACCTACATAAAACCCCCTGCATCCCATCACCTCCGGTCCCCTGCCCCTCTTTATGTTACCCCAGGCCTTTTCTACATGCACTTCTTTATTTATGTATTGTTTTCTTCCCCCTCGAAAGTAAGTTCCATGAGAAGAGTCAGTATTACCATCCGACAGTTTAAAAAAACCTACTCAGAAAAATATGGCTGTATGTAGTTCTTTCCTTTACTGCCTAGTTAACTAGGTGGAAAAAAAATACCAGCCTCAGTGGGCATTACTTATTTCATTGGGGTGAAGAGGACACACCTATTTTCTGACCAAACAATGCTGAATAGCACCTCAGAATGCCCTTGTGATTGCCTGCAACGTTTCTGAACTTCTATTCAAAAACACTTTCTATTGTATAGTCGATAATCAACACTTCAAAGAAGGAAATCAGCTCAGTTATCTTCATTTAACAGATAACAGCAGAGGCTGAAGAAGAATAAAACATTTGCCAAAGTCTCAAGGTAACAGATGGCAAATCCAGAATTCTCACCCCCTTCCTGACTTTCCAAAGCCACATTCTCTTCCCGCACCAACGTTTCCACTACTCTTAGGTCCACCGAACGCGCTCAAGGCACCCACTGCTCAGATTGCTGATGGGGTGGCAGAGTCTTCCCTGGGGCTTGGAGAGGCCCCTTCACTCACAAAAACTCCACTCACGGCCCCTCTCCTCTCGTCCACTGCACACAAAAGCCAATTGCTAACCTGGCTGTTCCACCTTTAGATGACAAGAGGCCACCCTCTGAGAAAAAACGCCACTGCTGTTTTAACCTAAGAATTTTGAAAGTGTCATGTTTTGCACATGAAAATATCCTTTCCGTCACCGAGAGTCCTTCAGTTATGAAATGAGGCATTTGGCCCCATGATGGTTAAGGACAGTCCATTTAGGCTAAGATACCGAAATCAATCCAGCGCGCCACTTCCTTGATGAGATGATGAATCATAATGTCACAAAAAGCTCCTCTGTCTTCCCCAGGCCCAATGCCAGAGTCTGTACTTTCTAATAATCAGGAGAAACAATCTATCACCCTACTGGGTTTCCTAACCTCTTTGTGAAGAAAGCTGGGTCATCAGTATGTCCTTGGACAGGACTGAAGACCAGGGGTCCAGAGGTGTGGCCAAGATTAGGGAGTCCCAATACCCCGCCTGTCCCCACTCTCCAGCCTTTAGCTAGACAACACTGCGGACTCTATTAAATATCAAAACCACAAAACTTACTCAAAATTAGTTCTGACATGGTGACGATGATGCCCCACAGGTGCAGACACAGAGCTTCAATTTAGAGAAGAGTCACAAAGACAGAAGGAAGGCCCCAGACGAACAGGGTCAGCACTCTGCCTGCAGAACTACTTCACCGTCTCCTGAACATGCAGCTTTGTTCAAAGCCCACCCATGAGGGAACTGGATGTAATCAAATAAACTGACGCAACCTTTCCTGCAGGGAAAAAGAGATGCCAACTTCAGATAACTCTCAAGAAAACGCCAGCTTGCAAGGTGGGCAACATTCCTGCTGGGAATACCCATAAGAAAGCGAGTCTAGAAAGCGCATTTATTTCCAGCCCAGTGTTGAAACCTGAGTTTTACTCCTCGGAGCGGCACATGGTGTTCCTGTGCGTGGAGCCTTCCTTCACGGAGAACAGACATGGAGAAGTCTGTTTCGGGGAAGGACCAAGTTGTTGACATGATAATGGGTCTAAAGGGACTACGTTCTCTCAAAGACATACAACTCTTTGGTCACTTGAGAATCATCAGTGTAGAATTACAGCACCCAAAATAATAGGACCCGCTATGTCCAGCCAACGTTTTCCTCTTTCACAGGTTATTACAGGCCTCTGATGCATCAAGGGCCGTCTGCATGCTTCCTGACATTCCAGAAAGGAGCAGGCTCAGGTGCTCCAGGGCCATGGAAGACCACACACACCCTCGCCCACGGGCACCCAGATCTCATCTCCAAGTCCGCTCGCACCTGCGCAGAGACGATGAGGGATGGGAGCCGAGGGGCTGTTTCTCCGGGCTCCGCAGCAGCCTCACGTGTCTGCAGGACAGGACACTGTTTCATCAGGTCTCTCCTGCTTGAAAGCTTCTGACCACTCCCCAGCAGTGCAGGTGAAATGCAAAGCCCTCAAGCCCCACCTGCACCCACCTTCCTCTTCCTCAGAGCCCATCACTGTCTGCGGCTTATCTTACTTATCTCGTTTATCCTCTGCCGTCCTTTCCTCGAGGAGGCTGGTTTTCATTGGCTTTTCTCACACTTGCATCCAAAGGCCCCGGCACAGAGGACGTGTCCCATGAAAATAGGTCAGCACAATCTACCTGATGCTCCAAACTCATGCCTGGGAGAAAGCCGGGGTGACTGGGTGAGAGGGATCTCTGCTCTACTAGAAGCTTTTCTGGAACAGGAAGGATTTTATGTCCATGTCATATCCACTACCTGGTATTATGGGCTACATGTGGAAAGTAAATATTTACTGAGTGGATGTCTCCATAACTACTAAATTAGCAATTTGGTGTGACTTTTCTCTGCAGCGAAATACAATTGCTCATTTTGGCCCAGTTAAATTTATGTGAAAATTGTCCAAAGAACCACGTCCAGTCACCTGTGCTTTGGTGTGAATTCACGTGGAAAGGTGCCAGCTCTCTCTTCCTGGGAGCCAGGACACTGGCCGTAGCCAGCTCTGTGACCTTGACCCACCTCCTGAGCACTCTGCACCCTGATTTACTCACGTGGAAGATGATAGGGCTGATCCTCTACCTATAAGATCAACTGCACATTTTTTGAATTATAATAATCTGGCTATAGTCATGGAGCCACTACTTAACACACATGGCTAATGGTAATACATAATGATAGACCACTACTGAGAGGCAACAGTCAATATTTTTCAAGGACCTTAAAAACGTTCAACTCCTTTGATCAAGTAACACCGTTTCTGGGAATTCATCCATGAGAATAAAAAAATCAGGACTTCCCTGGTGGTGCAGTGGTTAGGAATCCGCCTGCCAATGGAGGGGACACGGGTTCGATCCCTGGTCCGGGAAGATCCCACATGCCGTGGAGCAACTAAGCCCGTGCGCCACAGCTACTGAGTCTGCGCTCTAGAGCCCGTGAGGCACAACTAATGAGCCCACATGCCACAACTACTGAAGCCTGTGTGCCTAGAGCCTGTGCTCCACAACAAGAGAAGCCACCGCAATGGGAAGCCCGCACACCACAATGAAGAGTAGCCCCTGCTCGCCGCAACTAGAGGAAGCCCACGCACAGCAACGGAGGCCCAACGCAGCCAAAAATAAATAAATAAATCTATCTTTTAAAAAAAAGAATAAAAAAAATCAAGGGCATTAAATGTTCATTATAGCATTTCCCGTAATATTAAAAAAGTTTTCAGAGCATAAATATACGTTTTAAAAAGAAATACCAAACCAGTAAAAACAGAAGAATGGAAAAGTACGAGCCACAGAATGATATTTTACAGTCTTAACCAATGGCTTTACAATATAATTTTGGATAAGAATCATATGCTATGTTAGCCACCACAGACAAAGAAAGGATACACACCCACACAAGTAAAATCACTGCTTCATTAGAATGAGGAGACATTATGTTTCTTCCTGGCAATATTCCTTTATATATACAATTTCAAAAAATTCTGCAAAGCCAAGGTAAGTCAAAATAAATAACAAAATTATTTTAAAAAACAGTTGCAAAACTTATTCCAGTTAACTTCCTTTGTACAGTTTTAGAAATTGAGAGATAAAAGAGCAACAGTAATAGAAAATGATCAAAGTACAAGAAGTAGTTCACAGGGAAAGAAAGACAAGTGTCCCCAGATGGACTCATTCCTAAGAAGAGAGATGCAAATTCACTGCGTAAGATGCCACTTCTCAACTCTCCAACCGGCAAACATTCAAACGTTTGACAAAACACTCGTCCACGAGGCTGTCGGTCAATAATTGCTCTCCTGCCCGACTGGTTGGAGTCCGAGATGATACAACACATCAAAAGGGTTTTGTTGTCAGAATCTACTGACACTTTACCTACATTTATCCTTTGATCCAGAAATCCCACTTCTCGGGCACGTGACCAGCGTATATGTGAGCAAGTTTGTCATTGTGGTCTTGTCTGAAATATCAAAAGATTAAAAACAATCCAAGTAGGTGACAGGTTAAATAAACTGAGGAAGTCAACCCTGGAATGGATTACTAGGCAACTGTAGAAAGAGGAGAAACATTCCACGCATTAAAATGGGAAGATTTGAACAATGTAGTAAATTTAAAAGGCAAAGTGTAGAACATGTATTTTGCATACTGAATGCTGTGTAAACTTCATATGTATGTTCGTACTTATTTTATTTGCATATGGATGCTGCAGGCACTATGGAGAACAGCAAGGAGGTTCCTTAAAAAAATAAAATTAGAGCTACCATATGATCCTGCAATCCCACTCCTGGGCATATAGCTGGAGAAAACCGTAATTCAAAAAGATACATGCACCCCAGTGTTCACGGCAGCACTATTTACAATAGCCAAGACATGGAAGCAACGTAAATGTCCATCAACAGAGGAATGCATAAAGAAGATGTGGTACATATATACACAATGGAATATTACTCAGCCATAAAAAAGAATGAAATAATGCCATTTGCAGCAACATGGATGGACCTAGAGATGATCATACTGAGTGAAGTCAGTCAGACAGAGAAAGACAAATATCATATGATATTTATATGTGGAATCTAAAATAGATACAAATGAACTTATTTACAAATAATGCCATTTGTAGCAACATGGACGGAAAAACAGATTATCATACTAGGTGAAGTTAAGCCAGATAGAGAAAGACAGATCTCATAGGATATTGTTTATATGTGAAATCTAAAAAAATGATACAAATGATCTTATTTACAAAACAGAAATAGACTCACAGACATAGAAAACAAACTTACGGTTATCAAAGGGGAAAGGGGAGAAATTAGGAGTTTGGGATTAACGCATACACACTACTACATATAAAATAGACAACCAAAAAAGAACTACTGTAGAGCACAGGGAACTATACTGAATATCTGTAATAACTTATAAGGGGAAAGAATCTGAAAAAGAATATATATATATATAACTGAATCGCTTTGCTGTGCACTTGAAACTAACACAGCATTGTACTTCAACAAAGAAAAAAAAAAGAAAGAAAAAGAAAATGGAAAAAAAAGGAACACTGGATGAATACCCGAACCATAATTAAAGCAGTTACCTAGCGGAGTGGGCTGGGCTAGAGGGTGGAGGGACTGACCGGGCACAGAGGCAAACAGGACTCTTCAAATATTACCTTTAAATAAATTGATTGTGAACTATATGGATACTCCTGTTTAGAGATTACAAAGATTTTAATGAAATAAACTTAAGTATTTTAATAACAGTAATTTAGGATAAACAGAGGGTCTCTTGCCTGGTCTTAATTCCATCAAGGGATAATGCCTATTCATTCTACACATAGACTTGCCTACTTAAAGTCAGCGGATGCATTTCAAAATTGTATAAGAGAAAAGTTCCAAATGATATTTTAATAGTGTTTTTCTTCTCTGAGCTAGCTCAGAGTTCCAAAACTGTCACCGTATATCTGCTCTCCTCCATGTCTCTTCCAGATTTAAACCCTGGCATTTATTTTATTGCTGAAAGGCTCAGCATCCTCTGATCACCTGCCTGGCAGTGCTAAGTTTTCAGACAAGGGCCTGTCAGCTCGCAGAGTAATAAGACTCTCACAGTGTCAGCCTCTGGGGGAGGGTTTTATACTTCCCACAAGGAAAAAAAAGCAACATCAATTCAAATAAAGATTAAGAAATAATAATAACAGCTAACATTGACTGAGCACAAATCCACAAGCCACTTAATCATACAACAGCTGTAAGAAACATCACCCCTCACTTGCAGGAGGGCCGGGGTACAGGGAGGCTGAGTGGTGGAGGTGGGGTGCATCTCTCGGCAGGCAGGACCCAGGCCTGTTCTCTAACCACAAGGCTGTACGTCTTTATTTTCTGAATGCAATGAGACCGCACGTAGCACTGGTTGTCACGAGGCAGCTATAACCTCAGCGACACGCGGGACCACGTTCCAGTCGCCGCTCTTGCTTTTTAAGAATCCTATGTGTTCAGTTACAACGTTGCTGGTGAACAGGGGTAAGTGAGCTTGCCATCCCAGTTTACAGAGTATGAATGAGATGGAGCGGGTAAGTGGGTGGTGTCCAAGCTACCATCAATAGACGAGCACTAAGCATGGCCTGGGAGCTGTGAAGTCTAGAATTCTTACCCAATCTTAATTTCTACATCCTTCCTTCCACTAGTGAATAATGTGCTATGAAAGCCCAGTAAAGGTGTAGACCAGAGGCTGGCAAATGTTCCCCATAAGGGTCAGACAGTTCCTACCGTAGGCTTTGTGGGTCATAGAGAGGCTCCGCAGCAACGGCTACACTCGGCAGTTGTAGCCTCAAAGCAGCCAGAGGCAGCTCCTAACCCATGGGCGGGGCTGTACGCCAATGAAACCAGGGGTCAGGATATGGGGTAGATGCCTGTGGGGGAATCCTGCCCATCTTTCTGACCGTCCCGCTGCTCTAACGTGGTTCAATACTGTAACAAAGTTTGCCTTTGGTTTTTTTTGAAATCATTTCTATTCTGAATGCCTGAGCCTGCAGTGAAGACACTACACGACCTGATGCTTTGCCAACTATAGCCCGAAGAAACTGTGCACCGAACAGCCCGCCTGGCTTCACGCAGGACGGGGACCCAGTCAAGGTCAAGAAAATCCTTCCATTCAGGCCACGTGCTCTAGTGTTTATTTCTTGCAGAAGTCCTGGGCCTTTGCTCGCTCTGTTCCAAGGGCGTGGACGTCCACGCCTCTCCTCCACCTAGTGAATCCGTGCCCCCCTCACCATCCAGCTTAATGGCATCTGCCAAGATCACTGCAGTGCGAGGCATTGTGACCCTCCCATGAATCTCACCGGCCCCAGGTCCGAGGTACCCCGACCACAACTTATTCAGACACAACGTCTTACCTCCATGCTCAGTATCTAAGACCCTCCAGACAAAGCTACGCCATCTTGCCTTGTGCTCCTGACTCTTACGTAAGCATTTATTCTGTGGGTCAATGGCAATAGGATGGCTTTACCATCCCAGTACACACGCGAGGAGCTGAGAAGGTGCAGTACGATAACCCGGCCAGGCTGTGGTTAAAGAGTTAGTGGCAATTCTGAGAGAAGATCCTAAGTCTCTTTATCCAAGGAGCCTAAGACATCACAGGAGCCTAGTCTGATAGACAGTGGCCTTTGCTGAAAGTGGACAATCTCCAGGACCAGAGGCCACTGGGTTTGAATCTCAGCACGGCCACAGGATGGTGGCAAATCACTTAAACTTAACATCAGCTTACAGTTACCACGGCACTATCTTAGGCTGTATAAAATGCATACTGCTTCATTTAATACTTCCACCAACTGTGACGTATGCACTCTTATCCCCATTTTATAGATAAGAAAACTGAGGCACTGAAGTGCTGCAACTTGTCCAACATTAAGTGTCAGAGCCTAGTTCCAAAGCGAGGTGTTCTGGCTCCAGAATCCCACTCTTCCAACCATAAACTCTAGGGCCCCTTGGGCCTCACTGGCAATGGTGTCCGTTGTTATTGATCATTCAACACATGCTGTTATTATGATTATTCTCTCCTTATTGGCAGAGGACGTACACCTCTCTAGCTAAGGCGGGTTGGAGAACTGACCTCATCAACTCTTTCCTGCCTCATCAACTGCTCCGCCAGCCACAAGCATCTACAGGAGGTCTTCCTCTGGGAGTCTGGGCCTGGACACAGCCCAGGGATGGGCCTCCTGATCTCGGCCTTGGTAGGTGTGGACAGTGCCCTCACGGAGGGTCAGACACACCCTGGAACACTGCTGGCTGCCTTGTCAACCGAGATCACAGCAA